ACAGTGTGCAGTGGCGGTCAAAAAGGCAAATAGGATGCTAGGAATTATTAGGAAAGGGATAGAAAATAAAACCCAGAATATTTTACTGCCCCTGTATAAAACTATGGTACGCCCACATCTTGAACACTGTGTACAGATGTGGTCTCCTCACCTCAAAAAAGATATTTTGGCCTTGGAAAGGGTTCAGAAAAGGGCAACTAAAATGATTAGGGGCTTGGAACGGGTCCTATATGAGGAGAGGTTAAAGCGACTGGGACTTTTCAGTTTAGAAAAGAGGAGACTGAGGGGGGTTATGATAGAGGTATATAAAATCATGAATGGTGTGGAGAGGGCGGATAAAGAAAAGTTATTTATTAGTTCCCTAAATAGAAGAACTAGAGGACACCAAATGAAATTAATGGGTAGCAGGTTTAAAACTAATAAAAGAAAGTTCTTCTTCACACAGCGTGTAGTCAACCTGTGGAACTCCTTGCCAGAGGAGGCTGTGAAGACTAGGACTATAAGAGAGTTTAAAGAGAAGCTAGATAACTTCATGGAGGTTAGGTCCATAAAAGGCAATTAGCCAGGGGATAAAATGGTGTCCTTGGCCTCTGTTTGTCAGAGGCTGGAGAGGGATGGCAGGAGACAAATCGCTTGATCATTGTCTTCGGTCCACCCTCTCTTGGGGCACCTGGTGCTGGCCACTGTCGGCAGACAGGATACTGGGCTAGATGGACCTTTGGTCTGACCCAGTACGGCCGTTCTTATGTTCTAAAAGCTAGGTGTTGTTAACCCGTAGAACTCCCCACCACCAGGCACAGCAGAGCTGGCTTTAATCTTCCACAAGATTCCACAGGGATGAGACTGATTTGGAGGGGAGTGAGAAGGGAAAGGTGAAACTATGAAGGAGGACATCAGGGGACAAGGGTAATTGTTTATAAGAAAGTCACAGGGGTAGACTCAGGGTACAGCAAGCACTATCCCGGCATTGTTATGAGCAATGAAATGTCAGGGTGGTGTTAACCTGCAGAACTACCCACCACAAGATTCTGCCATCTCCTACCTCTGACTTTAGCATCCCAGCCCGCTGAAGGTCCCAATTCGGTCCAGCTTCATCCCGAAGCAGCCCTGAGGATGCGGTGCCTTCTTGGTCCTGCCCCGAAACTTCCTCTGCCCGTTCATGAAGTCAGTGAAAAATCGGACCCAGGTGGGGTCGACGGAGGGGGGCTCAGGGGCATCACGCAGGGGACGGTTTCCCACCCAAGGGAAAAGGGAATGGTGAGCCACAGGGACGTTGATGGAGTGTGGGGTAGCCAGGGCATCACTCACTACAGCAAGAAGAGTCTGGAGATACAGAAAGGGACTTTGTTAAAGAGGGAGACCAGACGGCACAAAAAGAGAGAGAGACCCCCCCCCCCCCTCCCCCCACAATCCACACTGGGACAGGAGTGGGGGCTGGTGGGTTAGAGCAGGAGGCTGGGAGCCAGTCTCCTCAGCTCAGGGAGGAGGAGCTGGTGGGTTAGGGTTAGAGCTTGGAACCAGGTTGCCTGGGCTCTTCCCTGGCTCTGGAAAGGGTGGTGGGGTGAATGGGTCAGAGCAGAGGGGGGGCTGAGCACCAGGACTCCTGGGTTCCATCCCTAGCAAGGTACCTACCTGGGGGGGGTGGCGGGGGGCCGGCGAGGTGAGGGGGAGGAGGAGGAGAAAGAGCAGGGTGGAGTAAGGCTCCATGTTACCCGTGTGTGCGATAGGCCCCAATCTGGGGTGTCGAGTCCTGGAGTGTCCCTGCGTGTGGTGGGGGCTCGGCGCAGTGTCTGGGGTCCTCTGCTTTCTCCTCTACCCCAGCCTGACTCTATAAAGGGCCTCAAGGTGGTGACGTTCCCATGATCCCCCCCCTCCTAGATGTATCACCCAGGGCAACAGATCCCTGCCCCCGCTGGGGCAGGAAGGGGTGGTAGCAAGGGGGGATGCAATGGGGGGCCATTGTGTGGGTTGTCGGGGTGATGAGTTACTGGAAGCAGAAGGGAGTCTGTAAATGGATGCTCTTCACTCCTGACCTGCAGCCCGTGCCAGCCCAGCCCTGGGCTCCCCCAGCCCTGCTGGTGCCCCTCATTCCCGAACCAAAGATC